TCGGTTTATTGTATTGATTTCTTTAATTGTAAATAATGCATTAAAAATGTATAACTTTGTATTGTATTGTTTGGTACCAAAATTGTTAATTGTATATAATTAATAAATATTAAAATAAATTAAAACATGCGTGCAAAAAAAGAGGACCGCCAATCAAAATTGGTGGGGATAATGGGGAGGGCCTTCACAAATTCAGATTTTATTCGATAAATATTCCGATTGAACAATAACAATTTTTGTTACCGAACGATACAAATTGTATTATTGTATTATATTATGATATATTATATTGTATTATGTTATTGTATTGTGTTATGATATTTCTTTCTTTTGTATTAAACTTTTGTATTTTCATTGTATTTTTATTGAATATTATTGACTTATATTTTATATTGTAATAAATTTTTTTATATTGTAAAATTGTGTATAAAAAATAATAAATATAAGAAAATTTAAAATATATGCACATAAAGAAAAGAGGAGAAGTGAAGTGAAATTGCGGTCCTCTTTTCCTATTTTCTTATGTTGAATATTTTTTTCATATTTTATGCAATTTTTTTACCAAAGTTAATAATATAATATAGTCTTTCTTTTTATTAATCAATATTTATATATTTTTATGTATATTTTTTAAATTATTTTCTTAATTTTTATATATTATATTTGATATTTATATTTTATATTGATATTTATATTTTATATTGATATTTATATTTTATATTGTCTATAGAGTATTTTTCATTATTAGCTACGTATTTATATTATATTTATATTATTTTTATTTAATTTATATCTTAAATATGATGCTAACATATAAATAATAAGTTAGAAAAAGAGAGGAAGTAGCGTATATACATTCAATGTACTCAAAATAGATATATATTTAAAATTTGATGAAAGCGAGATAGAACATTTTCATGCAGTCTAGTACAGCACCGAAGAGCAGATCTATGATTGGTTACCTACTTAGCTCGCGTATGTGCAGTTCAATTTCGTACGCACTAACATCAAAGGTGCCGACAGGAAGTTGCGCTACTGTATGTACTGTGCCCTTGCTTTAACTGGCAGTATGACTGTTATTATAACTGTTATTATTGTTATTATGACGGATTTAATTTTAAATTAATAGTTCATAAAAAGAACTATTAATTTAAAATTAAATCCATTATAATAACAGTAATAAATAAATGTTTTTGCTCTCTTTGTTATCCTCAGTACAATCAAAACAGTTGATAATATTAATGTTTTTCAATTTAATCCCTGGGCCTCAAAAGAGATCATGCTTTTTTCCCGTAAGATTATCGTTCTTTAATAGTATCTTGTCAGTGACATAAGAAAGCAAATTGGAAACTAGTTTTAAGATTTTAAAGGGACGTCGTTTCATGAGAACCAACTTGACCGAGACATTTGCCGTGAAGATCGCGAATGATCGTGAGTCACGTTAGTTACGAGGGATACAGAAGTGTATTTCGGAATTAAATAGGAGATTCAAGATGGAAGACGGTGACAATAAAGTTGAAATCGAAATAAATGAAGATAGAAAGTCCTATGCCGGCATACCGGAAGCCGATTTTGTCGTAAGTGCGGTTTATTAATGTCTGATTTACGCATACATGCGTGTGCACATTTGCATTCATGCCATCGCGATTATATTCAAGTTTTTATTAATTTTATTTTAATTAATTTTACAAAACTTTTATTAGTATTTAATCTTTTTTTGAAAAAAATATTTGTATTTATTATAATATTATAAGAATGATAAGACCTAAATCTTTTTTCTTTTATATTGATTAATTTCATGACTGTTTGCCTGATTAAAATTTGGATCGATTGATCGAACCTTATATGGTCACGAAAAAAAATCATATAAAAAGGAATATTTCCTTGTCTATTGAATTTTTATTATTTATTTTGTTCTCTGATAAATTTCAAGTGTACACGTTAATGAATGCATTGCATAAATATGCTCTCATGTTTGACATTGTTGAATCATTTGTATTTATAATTTGTTTTATAATTAAATGTTATAAATATTATTTTATTAGTTATTAGCTATTAAATATTATTTTATTATTATGTAAGATATATGTATATGTGAAATATATTCAGGAGATCAATTATATATTTTGAAATGAGATGAAAAGTACAGAAGTGAAAAAATTTATTAGTTTTCGACATGAAGTTGGAGTTGCTTTAGTAAATCTCTTTACTTTTGTAATTTTCATCTCATTTTAAAATATATAATTGACCTTCTGTAATCTTAAGATTGATCGAACATGATTTACAATTTCACATTGATGGGCTTTATAATCTCAGGATGATGTCGAAGCTTTTATGGCAAAGCCAGAGAATGAGTCTGTGGACAAAGTACTCAGGAAGCTCGATGAGAGTCATGGAAAATACAAGTTTATGGAGTTCAACCTTGTCAACAAACGAAGACGCTTAAAAATCACAGATACCAGACTTAGAAAGATCTTTAGAAATGATTGAGAAACTACAACGTGAGAAAGATGGTTTAGAAACGCAATTTTTATTATCAGAACAGGTTTATGCAAAAGCTATAATACCACCCACTGACAAAGTATGTTTATGGCTGGGTGCTAATGTCATGCTAGAATATACCTTAGATGATGCGCAAGAAGTGCTGACCAAAAATATTGAGGCGGCCAAAAAGAATTTAGCATATGTAGAGCATGATCTGGATTTTGTTCGAGATCAATATACTACCATGGAAGTAAATATGGCACGTATCTATAATTGGGAAGTTAAACGCAGACAAGCAGCAAAGCCAACATGAGATAATCAGTCTTATTTATGCTCGGATTTGCCTAAAACTACCAAGAGGTAATTCCTTGCAAATTATATAAATATTTTTTACATTAAGCTCAATGAATTAGTTTTTTTTTTATTTACATTGATAAATCCAACTTCTATTACATTTGCCTCAATTATAATTGTTAAATGTTTTGTATTTCAGAATATTTACATATTATGAAGAATAAAGTTTGTCAATACACCATTGAAATTCTTGGAAAGACTTAGAAAAGACTCAATTTATTTAGCTACAAACTCTTGTCACACATTTTAATATTTATATATGTTGCTATAAATATTTAGATATTTAAACTTTTGTAACATCAGTTACTAGAAATAGTATTTTTCATTTATTATCCTTCACAAATTGAATTTATTAATTTACGATGTATCTATCTGCATGAATCTTAATAAAACTATTCTATTCTGATTAAATCGAATGAATGAAATGAAATTATATCATAAAATACATATAATAAACATAAGATATATTTATTTGAATATTGAGATCTCTACTCTCTGTACAAACAACATTCGTTATTAAGTACACATGTCAAAGACTATACGATAAATTTATCTTAGAAAAGAAATTATACGAAAACTAATAACTAAATTTCCGTGTTCTTAAATAAAAATACATGAATGAATGAACATGTATGTGTAATGGAATGTTTACACAATAGCTTAGCAATTTATCTTATATTCTAACTTCCTTAAACATTATTTATTATAATAATAAGGCACAGGGTCAGACTGACCTCTAAAGTCAGTATTTCAAAGTATTTACAAAAAAAAAAAAGACTAGCATGAACTCTGGTCAAAAATATATTGTCCATCATGGTTACTCTGCCATTACTTCATCCTTTTGTTCATACTTCACTAGTTTTGATTTGAGTTCAGCAATCTTAGCTTTAGACTCATCCAATTCCTTTTTCAAACTCTCAATCTCCGATGTATTATCTACAATACCACCAAGGTTTTTACGTATATATCTATATTATAATTAAGGAAAAAACTTTCTGATGATATAAAATAAACTATTAGAAAATAAATGACTTCTCATATAATAAGATATAAGAGCTATATTTTATAAAATCAAAAACTTAAAATTTCTAAAATCAAGATGGAATATTTTGTTAAAAAAGATCTTGTCAAAGATATTTATTAATAAGATAAGGATACTCCAAAGCATCAGTTGGCCTCTCTGTCTCCTCATAGAGCGAGACAAGAATCTTTGTGAGGGCATCCATGACTCCCGATCTCTCCAAATATTTGCGGAACTCTTCTCGCTTAGCAGTGACTGACTGTAAACCAAAAAGATTTTATCATTATATTTAAAGAGAGAAAATTTTAAGAGAATAATTTGTGCACTAAAGCAAATTAATAACAAATATATCATGAATACAAATATATCATGCCTTTTTATACAACATTCATATTTTATAATTCATAAAAAGTAACAATTAAGTAACATTGAAAGATATTTCTATTTTCATTACTTCTGATCTACAAAGATTAGCTAATACAAAACGGTAATTGCACAAGCAACTATCCGGAGAGGAATCATAATAAATCCTAATAAATTTCTATTGTGCACGTCTTTTTCCCATTTGTCCAATAATCGCTCTAATATTTGTTAAAAAGAAAAAAAATCCGTGTTGCATAATTTCCTAACGATTTCGCCAATTTACAACATAGCAATTGGGGAATACCAGCAAACAAATATACAATAGCCATATAACTATGGCCGATGCAAGGACCATCAACATTATGAAAAAACGGCGGCACGTAAGCGACGCATGAATCGTTTCAAATCCGACATGAGGCCGATGGTTTTTTCGCGAAAAAATCGCCTGATTCGTGAGATTTTAACGAATAACGATTAATCAATTCAATAATTACCATCGTGACAATATTTCTGATGATTTTCACTCGAGCTTTTCTTGAAACAATCCACAAGGAATGGCTCAACAAAGTGAACGCAAGCGTACTCTAACTCAAAATAGCGTCCGTCTCTTATCACATACCTCACCATAGATATAACATAGATAGAATATGAATAGACAAAACATAGGCTGCGTTTCAGCAGAGAAAGCAGTTCAGTGAGCGTTCAGTGATTCTTTATTATGATTGGTTTCTACACTTACATTCAACAAAGATCTAAAGGCAAGAACCAATCATATTCAAAATATTTTTGATTGGTCAATTCATATAATATTTTTGTTCTGATTGGTTAATTAAGTGTTTCAACGCGACCGTTTCTGCGTGATGCGCATAATGCATCATTTATCCTTTAATGTGTAATAAATAATAAAGATAAATGATACATCATGCGCATCATGCGAGAAACGGAATGCATCCGAAATATTTCTAGCAGCAAATGGATCGCATCCAGAGCATTACTGAATGGCAAGCAGTATTCATATAATTTCCGCTTAGAAGCGGAGTAATAATAGTTTCACTTGTTAAGTCTTGTGTCCACGATGCTGGAATCTGAATGCTCGATCCGAGATCTCGGATGAAAAAAAATTGACCAATTATATTGATCAATTGGCGGAAATAGTCACTGCAATTGGTCAATTTTTTTTCTCTGTCCGAGATCTCGGATCGATTTCTAGCGTCGTGGACACAAGGTTTTATTCAACCACCGACGAAATACAATAGATAACTATTCCTGAATAAATTTTCGAGTGAGCCCTATAATCTTAAGGATAAGTGAAGAATATTAATATTATCGACTTCCGATATAAATTCCTTCAATAAAATATCTTAAGCCTCGTCGATCCGAGATTTCAGATAGAGATCAATTGTATTTGAATAATTCAGTCAATTGACTAATGGTTAACTTTCTCTCAGATCGATTTCTAGCATCAAGAACACAAAGACGGTATTCAGTCAGATCTTACATTTAAACATTTTAGAGACGATTTCATCAATCTCCGATCAGTTTGATTGACCGATGAAATTTAACAATTACCAACTGCAAAACTTAAAACTGATCGTATTATTGTTTTTTATTCATTTTTAGCAAATTATGATTTATTTATTTATATATATTTATAAAATATAATATTTTTAAGTAATAAATAATACTTTAAATAAAATACTATTTTTAATTAAAATAATTAAAAAATTGGGTTAAGAATGATAAATTAATTGGCATTATTAAATTTAATCGATTAAGCTTTATTTTTATAGTTATTATTCAAATATTTATATTAAATATTATCATATCAAATTTATAGCAATAGTCGATAATATTGATATTTTTCTTATCTTATCTAATTAATCTCCAAGCCTCTCGGGCATCAAAAATTTGTCCAAAATTAACAGCTTTTAATAAACAGTGATGAAAATTATATCCAATTATAATTTGATTTGAGTTCAAAGACGCGGAGCCGCGAGTTATCTGACTTGCGCGCCTTACATGCATAATCAAGATGGCGGCCCGCGAGCGAAAGTAACATTTGGTTTACCATCGTCGTGCTTCGAGGCTTCGTGAAACACGATACTGCGTCGTGATTTAATTACGTTCGCAACGGAAAACTTGGTCGATTTTTCGACAAGAAAAAAAATCGTTCGCGATGTGGCGCGAACTTTGGTCGCGCGCGCTTCTAACGTGCGCGATCGGCACTTGCTCGATTCTCGGCGACTTCGGACTGAAGTATGGCAAGAGTAACTCGGCGCGCGCGATGTTTGACAACGCGACGCACGCGACAGTGGGCGGCCTCACGTGGACATTGATCGTCGTTCTCTCGCGGAAGTCGATCGCGCGCAATCTGAATAGTATATTCTCCTGCTTTCTGTTGGCGTCCTTCATCGATCTAGATCACTTTGTCGCGGCGCGTAGTTGGCACCTTCATGTGAGTAACGTATGCAAATTAAGTTCGAGAATTTACTTCGATAATTACGCTTCGACAAATGGCTGAACGATAATGAGTGAGAGATATACTACAACTAACTACTGTATATTTATGTAAATACTTATGTAACATTACTGTAACGCATGTAAAATTTATATAAATTTATAAAATTTAAAAAAATTTATTGAGTTCATTTCATTTCGTATGTTTGCTTTAATTTCTATTTTAATTATTTTTATGTATATTTATCAAACTTGAATGGTAACTAATTAATTATTTAAAAAATTAAATAATAAAATTAATTAGTTAATAATGCTTAACTTAATTTAGTTAATTTCAAATAAGTTAACTTTTAATTTTAATTAGTTATTTTTTTAAACACATTAACTTTTACTTTTTAACTTTTACTTAATTATAAATTAAATTTTCTTGTTCTATATTATAATTGTTTAATTGTAATCTCCATATTACAATCTAAAACTTAACAATCTAACTAGAAAAATTATATTTTTATTTGATATAAATAATGCTTTTCAAAATTTACTTTTAATTCAACTGAAGTAAATTTAATTTTAATATAATTTTTAATTATTAGTTCTTTGTTCGTGAAATTGTCAACATAAACATAAATTAATTATATAGGCTACTAAAATAAAAGATAAAGAAACTAAAATCAGTTAAGGAAATCTTTTTTACTACTTAATCCTGATATTTATATTATATACAAAGAAATATTAAACTATACAAAGAATAATATTTTGATATTAATAAATGACATATATACAATTTATATACAAAAAGAGATTTAATACATAAATTATAATAATTTTTTTATTTTCTTTCTATAAATATATAATAAATTTATAAAATGTTGCAAAATCGAGTCATTAAAAAAATTACATAAGAATAATTATTAATATTAAATTAAAAAAATTAATTTTCTCTAATTTTAACTGGAAAATTTTAGAAATTTAAGAAAATATCTAAAAATTATTTTATTTT